CCTATTAAGAGACCAGGCGCCACAGAAGGACTTTTTACTCCTCGCCTTCTGAAGACACAACTTGCGCTCTGTGATTGCAGGTGGAACCTTGTAATTGGGCTCTGTGGGCTCACTTCTGCACTCCTATTAAGTCCGGTAGAGCGATGCATGCTGGGTAACGCCGGAGGAGGGATGCCAGTTGGTTATGGTGGTGGTTAAGATTGTGTGGCTGAGGGTGGGTTCCAGTGAGGGTCTGCAAATTAGAGCAGAGCCATAAAACCAATGCACTTGTTCTCTTAATGCCACAAACAAATGAGCCATTTGCTGCAGAGGCTTCAATTTCATCTTTACTGGTGTTGAGATAATGTTGCTGTTATAATGGGCTCTTGCAATAAAGTAACAGTCTCCAAATGTATGTTTGTTAATTAGTTAAGAGGGAGTGAATATTTTTTATAGGAAAATGTCTTTGTGGAAACTATCATGAAGAAGCTTTTTGAATTGTATGAGCGACACAAAGTCCATGAAGGTACACAAAAAAACGTAATTCTGAGGTACCTAACGTTTCTTCATAAATAATACAGTTTATTTGTCCCTACAGAGAGAGCCTTTAAAGTAAACTGTAGCAAACAGATAAGACCAAAACATGCTGTCTTCATTTTATTAGAAACCATGTTATATTGTGCATAGTTGTAAGCAAGAGCCCTGGGAGTCACTATTTTACACTTTGGGCTGAGAACTGAGAGAGGGTGGTCCTCTAATTTTCACTTTTCCATCAGAAAAATAAAAATCTTGAGATGTGACGGAAACCAAACAATAAATGGATGTGAAAACTAGTGATAAAACCAAACTAGAGAGCAAGAGATGGATAATATGGATTGTAAAATAACATTGATTTTTTTGTTTTTTGTTTGAAAGTGAGGCTTTGGTTCATCTAACCCCTTATTTGAACCATGTACTTGTTATATTGAGGTTTGTGAAAATGTGTTGTGCAGGTTTTTTGTCGTGACGGAAAAGGAAATTAGCCCAAAAAACAGAACTACAAAAAACTGGATTTAATAGAATGTGAAACTAAATCCAGAATAAACACAGAAAACTAAACCAGACACGGAATGACGATGACAGAACAGGAAGTGAAGGAACACACAGGGTTTAAATACACTAACGACTAACGAGACACACCTGATACACATGGGGGCGGGGCAGCTAATCAGGAAACAGGAAGTACAGCTAAAGAAGACACGGGTTAACAAATTACAAACTAAAAAAAGGAAATAAACCTAAACCATAACAGGTTTGGATTAATCTAATCTAACATTGAAAAAATCACTCCATAACGTTAGTGTCTTATGTGGCCAATGTGTGCAAATGTGCTCTCTACCACCAAAATCCAATCTATCTGTCATTGCTAGCTTTCTATTATTTTGAACTTTTGTTTTTAAAGGAGCTATACCCGTTTGTGCAAGGTTCTAATGTTTAGCACCGCCCCCAACTCGCTCACAGGCGTCTCATTTCCCCTAAGCTCTCATTCCATGGAGCCATCTAGTTTTATTTGCGATCTACATGCAAACGTTAGCATTAGCGCTACTCACTTCTTGTAAACTGTGCAACAATCATTGATGAAATGGTACAAAAGCAACGCACTGCTAACACAATATATAACTGAAAGATTACCGCTAGTTCTGCGTCCGAATGTAGTCTGAGCATAGATAGTCCGAGGCGGTCCCGCCGGTCTCTCCCATAGACAAGTCTCTCCAGAGGATACGATGTAAGCTAGCTATGTTCACCCGGGCTTGATTTCTTCTTTGATCATTTTTTCGCTTTAGTTCCCTCTTCTCTTCCTCACTGTTGTGTCTTTTGCTGTGTCTGCAGTTACAGCCAGAGGAGTTATAGCCAATTCTGCTAACATGCTACTGTGTTTAGCAGCGCTGTAGAGGCTAGAGGACGCCGCCTCGTTCTGTGATTGGAGGAGAGCGGGCGTCACGCTAAGTCTCTACTCAGTACTTTTTACAGCCTGAATTCAAACACAAGCTGAATCAATGAGCTCAAGTTTTCAAAGAATTATGGATTATTATACAACTTGTATGTATGTAATAAGCATTTGTATGAACTCTTTAAAAAAAAATCGGGTATAGTATCTTTAACTTCATTTGCTTTTAATGTCTTCCTGTTCCGTGGATTATTTGCACCACCCTAATGTGAATCCCCTGTCCCTCCCTGTGTGTATTTATGGGAAAAGTGTCAGAAATTCAACTCGGAATCTCAGGCTGGGTGCATGAGTTCACACGTTTGCGTCGATGTGACATGTGTCGATTGTGATTAGCTGAAAGAATGAAGACAAATTGACGGGGATGTGTTTTATATCACACTGGTTTTGATTTGTAAAATAAACAAAACCAATTAAACATTATGATTTGTGAATGTATGGTCACAAAAGCGTTGCAGAAATATCTCTCTTTATGATAAGGAACAACACATTGGTCCTGTATTTTTCACATCACAAAAGCTACAGTTTCTGTGCCTTTTCTGCACATTATTTGTAAGTCCCGAGAAAGTTTTTTGTAAGTCGGAACAATACGTAGAAATCTCAGAGTTTCCGAGATCGCATGGCATACCTTGGGCGTTTCCCTGTTGTTCAACCATCATGTACCTCTTGTTGGCTTGTTCTACCTCTCCATTTTTGTGTTTCACTCTAGACTTGGTTTTATTTCATCAAATACATTTCACCTTTATATGCAGGGCTGCATTTTGGGTTCCTTTTTAACTTTGCTTCAAGACGACATATTTCAAAGCTGTCTGTCATAAATGTTAGTGTAGTCTTGTATCTGTCATCGGCGTGCGTGGAGTGAATGGAAAAATATTGGTTCTCCAAAAAACATTGTACAGCCTTTTATACTTGCTCATTATTATGCTAATGTCAAGGTTTTTTGCACTTTATTCTTGCTTCTTCATCATGCTAAAGTTGGATATTTTAAGACTTTCTTTCTTATGCTAAAAATATAGATTTTATACTGCTTTTTAGATATTTTTTAGTTTTATCATTTTAGTATAGAGCCATTATTCATTTTAGCTTGTGCTGTGTGCTACTCGTTCCTACTGTTCTGTAACTTGTGATGCAACACTGAAATTTCCCCACTGTGGGACAAATAAAGGATCTCTTAACCTTGGTCTGTGAAATGCGCTATGAATAAGAATTACTACCTTCCTTACCTACTAAACAAAGTGGACACCACAGCTCTTTCCGGACACATAATCAATCTGGTCTTCTATGATTGCTGCTCATCTCTACAGGTTATTTAAATAGAGCACCCACAACAAATTGATTGAGAGCAAATAATTACTCTTGCAGTGGTCGTAGCAGCGATTTCATTTCAAAATCAATTTCAATAACAAAACTGTCCGAGCGCAACTGACAGTGTGTTCGCTCTGCTTAACTGCACACTAGAAATATAAATTATTATTTGCTCTGGATTTAGCTTCCACATATCATCAGGCTAATCACATTAAAAGTGAAATAGAGATTATGGAGAACTCAATAGAAAAGTAGGTCTTAAAATCCTCTCCCTGCCAACACAGACATTTGTAGGCTAATACGGGATCCCTTTACAAACCCAAAAGAGAAGGAAAATGGGTCAAGTTTCACATACACATTTTTATTTTGCTTCAAAGGATTGAAAAAAGGGGCCCTACTGTATGTGGCTGTGTATTCCTGAGGGCAAAACCAATCTGGCAACTTTTTCAAAGGAAGAGCCATTCCCAGAACAAGACCATTCAAACAAGTGTAAAGACATTGCATGGTGAATCTCATTGGCGGAAACTTTCAAATTGGCAACGTGTTGAAATACGGTGAAAGTTTCAGTCTTGGCAGTCTTCAAGAGCGTGGCCTCATTCATAAAGATAAAACAACTCACAGAAAGTATAATGATCATAAACATAATAATGAATGCTTCTTATTAAATCAATTTGGCTGAATTCAAAAGCTGCTTATATTAAATAACTCCAAAACAAGGTGAGTGAATGTATCTGCTTCATATAGGCTATATATAGATATATTTGAAGAATGCTAATTATTCTGGAAATGATGACAAAATATGAACTTGAAAGGTATGGAACTGATACAAAATAAACACATCTTCAAGTAAAAATCCGTTTGTTTTTGAAGATGAAAACAGAAACTCCAATCCAAACAAATGGCCAAGAATCATTTGTTTTTAGGTCACACCTCGTATATTGAGAAATCTGTCTGCCATTGCGTTCGCACCGTCTTTACATGTTTTCTCTTAAGATAGTATATTGCACAATTATCAGCTTCATTGCAATTGTAAAGAATAATTTAAAGTATAGTATTATATATATTATTATTACTCTTGGAAATGGCAGAGATGTCCATACTTTTTTATGGCAATACTTTGGATCATTACACTTGCGTTGCTTTCACTGTAGAGAACCACTAGTAAAATGCATAGGATTCCCATCAAGCAGTTTAATTTGGCATGTCAACACCCAAAATATTTCATATTTTCCCTTTGTTAAAAAAACATCAACATTGACCCATTGCCATACAGTAAACAGTACATTGTCCATAGAGTTCCTTCATAGATCTGCCATTATGATTATTTTCTCAATGAGCTTGTGCTTATTTTCACCAAAAAATGCTCTGTGCAAAATACAACAATACAGTAGCTTTGTCAAAGTAAGCTAACAGTTTGCGCATCAATGAAAAAAAAAAAAGTTCACAGTAATAAATCACAACAGAGGACAACATCGGGTTTGGCTTGCATAGCAAAGCAAAAGAAGAGAAACCATTTACAAAATGTATGTACACATTATGCAAGTCCATTTAACTTCAAAGTGATTTTGTTCATCGACTCCACGTAGTGACACACCATGTGACAAGAAGCAGAAGACATGATAACATACTCTTGCAGGGGGGGTGTGACTGTGTCTGTACATGGCATTTACAGCTCTGTCTCTGTTCTGTGTGCTCCGGTCTCCATCAGTCAGAATGAAGAGACTCACTGCACCTATAAACAAGCTGCGTGTCCCGGGGCGGGCGCGACCACTGCAGGCCAACACACTTCATCAGGACTCTGCAAAGACAGAGCAAGCACAATGTACACTCTGTCTGTGAGGGGCCAGTGAGCTCATTTGTGCATAAACAAGAATATATGAGGCTTGTTCGCTGCCATTTAAAGCGCACTAAAAACGCCACCTAATCAGTCACCGCTTTAGTTGTGTGTGTACGCTCTTATCCTGATTACACCAGTTCAGTGAATTAGTGCATACAGTGTAACTTGTATTAGTCAGTGTTGGTCAGAAGTTGGCTATTAATGTAAGTGTATAGCATGTTCACTGATTTTGGAACAACATTAGTCCGAGCTGCATGTTGAATTTGCAAACTGATTTGAACCGACATTAAATGCTATTTTGCTCTGCGAATACGGATACGGCTACCAAGGGTCTGTTTTTAATGTTGAGTTTTGCAGCATGCAAATTTGTTACCAGAAAATGGTTAAATCATGACCCTTCGACCTATTTATTTCTACTTCTATTGAGCATTCTAAATACTCTTTGGTCTTGTTTGATGAGCTTGATCACCAGAATGATTGACAATTAGAAGGACCAATAGTCTTGATGATCCACCCGGAAGTAGAAAATCCTCCTATATACCTTTAATTTTTCAGACTTTACATTGGTACTGTCAAACAAACAAACTGTGTTATTTTACACCTATTTTTCTTGTTTTCTTGATTATGATTAATGACAATTTATTTCTAATAAAGTTTATATTGTATGCATTTGTGTTTCTAACTGGACATTGTGTGCCCCGAGCAGCAGCAAAAACATATCTAAAGTGTGGCTCTATTCCCAAGTCCCAAGACCTCCTTAATCAAACATTACATAGGAAATTTAAAACAGGTACCAAAAGCTCTGATAACTCATTCTACTTATTGATCATTTGTTTATGTGGAGACATGGCCCTCTACGATAAACTCCTATTGAACGCAAACCAACCCATTTTAAATTAACAGTCTTAAAAGCCAAGTATAAAAGCAAAATTACACATAATTTAAACGTTTGATGTGTTGGGAGACACACACATTTCAGAGACAAATTAGCCAGCGGCAAAATTCTCTAAATTCTGTCACAAGCTTTCAACACTTTTTTATGTTGTTTGTGTACAAGTGTCTGGCACTTTAAATGCACAGATCTCACACCCAAACGAGCAAGATGTTATCTGTGCACAAACTCTGCGCCGAGTTTGTGCAAATCTCTGTCAAAGTGAGTTAGCGTTGAATTTATGAGTGTATCTTTTAATCTGACAATGCATCAAATTCAGGCATGTGTTTTTTAAAGTTATTTTTATAATTTTGCAGTGTTGACTTTATTTGCTCAGTTAATCCCTTTTGTAAACATAATCTGACTATTCAGATTGATCGATGTAAAAAACATTTTTGTACTAATATTTTTATTTGGCACAAAACACAATCTGTGTAACATGCAAGCTGTGAAATTGTCCCGTCTACGGCATGAATAATAATAATAATAAAAACAAAACCGGAATGAGTCAAATTCCTTTACTTTTTGTACCAATATTAGTAAAAGGATTAGCCCAGTCATTTTCCAAACATACACATGCTGATGAAGGCCAACTCACACTTGTAAACACTAATGAATAATACATGTGTTTACTTCTTATAAAGTTTATGCCTGAATCTTGCTTGTTTATTCACACTTAAATGTGATGTGTGTTGGAGAAGTTAGTGTAGTGTGCCACCTACAGTGCTCCCGTCTCTCTGTGCTGTTTGGGGGGAGTCCGTTCTGCTCCGAGGGTCTCTTATTGGACCCTCTTCCCAGTGTGGCTCTGCCTGATGCCCCTGTTCTGCCCCAGGAGCCCATATGCTGCCTCTCCAGCGTGGACACTGTCACCATGCACTCCTCGGAGGGGTCAGCGGAGGCGCTATTCCACGAGCTGTTCAGACGGGAGCCCACCGAGTGCAGGGCTTTAGCAGCTGCTGTGGAGTGAGGACGGACAGTGAGATGGAGTCATGTTATTTACCCCTTCTTACTGATACTACAAGCCACTGACCATCTGTGTTGGCGTCTCGACGTCTCGGCAAAGTCCCGATTTTCTCTGTAGGTTTGTGGCTGGAGATGGGCGCCCTCTGGTGGTTAAGACTCTGTGTGTTCTGTGCGCTGTGGTCCGAGAGGCCGGAGCTGTCCGCACGACTCTGATGAGAGGGTTTCCCTGTGGGCGTAAATCAGTTAAACATGTGTCTTGCCTTATAAGTTGTTATGTGCTTAATATTATCTCTTTACAAGGTTGATAATTAACGATTATTAAAAAAAAAAAAAATTGTAGCAATACAGATGAATTGGTTACTAAACAAGTCATCAGCTATTTTGATAATCAATTTTCTGCTAGTTAAATTATTTGAATAATCTATTGCCTTTACAGCCCAATATTTGAACTTAGTGATCAACATAGATCTAAATTAGCAATTGAAACAAACCCCACATCTAAAGAAGTGCTCTTTTATAACATTACTTTGATACAGTTTACTGTTTTACTATGTTTTTAATTTTATTGTGCAGCACTTTAGAAACTGTGTTTGTGAAATGTGCTATATAAATAAAGTGGATTGGATTGGATATTTGAAGGGGTCTTTGCTATTTAAACGCTGAATTATTTAAATACACCTGTCTTTTTAATAATTTGGTTTGATTGGGCGGCACTATTGCTTCTCCGCAGGCAGGTCCTGGGTTCGAACCCCAGTCGGAACAGGGTCTTTCTGACTGGAGATTGCATGTTCTCCCTGTGTCTGCATAGGTTTCCCCCAGGTGCTCCGGTTTCCCCTAGCACTAAAAACAGACACAATGGGTAAAATCCTCTGGCTCCGGTAGTCCTGACCAAGCCGAGCATCAACATCCGGAGATAGGTCTCCAGGCGCTATACTACGGCGATCACTGCTCTTGACAGACGCCGTAGTGGCATCAGGATGGGTCAAATGCAGAAGATGAATTTCCCTTGCTGGGATAAATAAAGTGTACCTTATTTTACATGTTGTCTCATTCTATTTTGGCTGTTTGGATGAATGGTGATCTTATTACATGTATTTAATATCATTAACTTGAGCACAGTAGTCATGAAGTATTCTCATATTCATACTACAGTAAGTCTGCAGAAATATTTGCGTTAGATTTTTTTGCAGTTGCAGCCAATCTTCCGCATTCCACCCTTTTGAGATATTACAACTGTGTAAACATTAATGTACTCTTTTGGATTTTGGCAAATATGTTTATTTCAAGCCAAATTTCCGATAGAGTTATATTCGGAGGTTAGAGAAACATGAAAGAAGACGCCAAATGCACACAAAAACCCCCAAAAGTATAGTTGCTCTGGTTTCAGTAAATATTTATCTGCCGGCATTTTTGGCACAGTTGAATTTATTTGTGGATTTCTTTTCCAAAACAAAATCTCTCGAGTCCTTTTCGATGCCGCCTTCAAGTTGGTGAACACATTGCAGGAAATCCCTCACTAAGAATCTCCACAGACCCTGCAAATATTAAATTAGATGTTCGAGAAATCTGCCATATTCATTCAATTTCTAGTTTTTGAAAAAAAACAATTGTAAAAAAGCTATAACTCTCTAATTAAATGCAAGAAATACCTGGAGGTTCACAGGCATTTTTCAACATATATAACAAACTCTTCATATTGGATCGATGATTATGTTAAAGCAATTTTATGATAAGTATGGAAGATTTTATGTGTCGTCAGATTTTTAATTTTTTTTAGCTTGTTTACAACAAGTTTACAACAATTCAGTTTACAAATTTTAATGTGATTGAAATTTCAAAATGACATATTCACCCTCAAAATATTCAATATATATATTTTTTTCAATGTAGAAAAAAAAGACGGATTATTTGTTCCATCAGAAATTGAATTTTAAATGGACCTGAATTCATCTATTTGAATGTTTTTAACATCTTGAATATTTTTTTCTGTGCATTTGAGTCACTGATTATCAATTTCATAATGTCAAATTCAACAGTCAAAATTCAACGAGAAAAAATTCAATGGTGAAAAATGTACATGACACATCCGGTCTTCTGACGAGTTATGTGCTCTGTCAGTTGGTCTGCGCATGCGTAATTTTACTGAGGTAAAGACTGGCGCTAGCTTTCAGCAGGTCCATCGGTTGATAATATGAATCTAACAGGTTGATATGGGATTTCTAATGAATGAATTGTAATGAAACCAAGGCGTATAACAAGATGATACTACATTAATTTGATGAGTTAGTCTTTTTGGGTAAATGTGCTCGTTTCAAATCATTATTGCTGTATATTCCTGTTTATTTATTTAGGCTGTGTGTGTTTGTTTGTGTTCATGAAAACCATCACATTTGAACATGTATAGCAACAAAGGACAGCGTTATTGTTGGTAACGTTACACAGTATTTGGGTCTAGTTTCCCGTGTAGCAGTTTCCACAGGGCTCACTCGTGTTACTTGAAAAAGAGCTCCATGTAAAGGAATTAACAAAAAACATGTATTCCACAGCTTGAACTCTTGTACACTAAATGATATTTGCTGAGTTGTCTCTGAAATAAAGTAACAACGCTAAGAACACCGTATGGCTCCTTATTTCTTGAGCTGTGAAACGTTACGTGCTCTTTTGGCTCCACTCGCTCCGCAAACAAAGCGAAATCCTCTCTCTCTCTCTCTCTCTTTCTTAAAGTGACGGTAACGTAAACATTCTAAGTTAACAAAATCTCCATTAGTTCTAAAGGGTCTAATGTAGATAACGAGAGATTCCAACGTCAGTGAAGAGAAAACAGAGATCATTATGCGCAGACCAACTGACAGAGCACATAACTCGTCAGAACACCGGATGTGTCATGTGCATTTTTCACCATTGCATTTTTTCTCGTTGAATTTTGACTGTTGAATTTAACATTATGAAATTGATAATCAGTGACTGAAATTCACAGAAAAAAATATTCAAGATGTTAAAAACATTCAAATAGATTAATTCAGGTCCATTTAAAATTCAATTTCTGATGGAACAAATAATGCGTCTTTTTTTTTTTCATTGAAAAAAAAATGGAAAATTTTGAGGGTGAATATGTCATTTTGAAATTTTAATCACATTGAAATTTGTAAACTGAATTTTTAGTGACTGAAATGTAAAGATAAAAATATTCAAACTTGCTTTTTCAGGGTTAAAAATGTCAAACTGAAGAATTCAAGCTAAAAAAAATTCAAAATCTGATGACACAAAAAATCTTCCATAGATAAGCCCAAAACTATAACTTTTAACTGTCTTAGGCCTGTGTAGTACTTATATAAAAGAGTAATAGTTAAAATACAGTAATGGTAATACAGTTTAGACAACAAAAAATAGTCACCAATAATAATTTACGGAAGATTAAAAACAAGATATATATGTTAAAAATAGTATTAAAAGTTGCACATTTCATGCTATAAAAGCAGCGAGGTTGACCACCACAGTCCCGAGACAAAATAACACAATATGTGCAGAACAATGAAGCAGATTGGTATTCTGTGTTGACATCTGCTTGGATTATCCTGAATTGCATTAAAAACAAAATAATTAGCTCACTCTCAAAGCCCGCCAACTGAGCCTCTTTGAAAATGAAAGACAAAAGACTACTTTAAGGATTGCGTACTCCATTCAAATTAAAAGCAGATAAAATTGGGTCACAGCTTTCAGTAATACTTTAGCTATACTGCCTCAGTGCGTGTCCAATTTGTACTTGTGCATACTCATGAGGCAGTGATATTATCATATTTGACAGCCATGAAATGTTTGCATTGCTAATGTTAGTCAATATTTTTCCTCTGACTGACCTCCTGCTTGCCCTGCCCACCATTGTAAAACACATATTTGGAAGTCGCTTAACTTATCAAAAAATGCAGTCTAAAAACAGTCCTACTTTGTTCCTGTGGGAGAGGCCTTCAAACTAACTCTAAAGAAAATCTCTCAGACAGGACCCTATTTTTAAATGCATCAAATCTTAAATTTCAGACGTGCCACTTTTATGTAGAGTCCTGCTGGAGTCTAAAAGAGACGTTATCATTTTGATGCATATACAAGATGTCTTCAAGGAGCTTAACGAGCTGTCTCCATGTCTCTGGAGGAAAAAAGGCCTTTGAGTGCTACGCTGAAAATACGCACAACTTTTCTAGCGAGATGCATGATAATTATAACTTTCAAGATGTTTCGATGACATCCTGGAAATGGCTATATCTGTGTATAAGTCAGGCATGTCCAAACTAAGGCCAGAGAGCCAATTGCGGCCCGCTGTGTCATTCTATGTGGTCCTAGGCCTTGCTACACCCACAATTCCATTGAGATTATAAACACAAGTTCATAGTGTTTTTCAGCCAACTTCCACTTCTCCAATGCAGGCATGTTATACCTCATTCATCATGGCACAACAAGGCTCTGATGTAGCTTTAGAGAGAGCTATTCAACTAACCTCAGCTCTCACATATATTAAATATGGATTCATACTCATGATATATCTCATTTAGCATCTCAAAGTAGGAGAATTCTATTTAAAATACAATCCGTGATGTTGGTCCCTGGACATGTCTGACGAACTAAAATACCCGTCTTATTTAAAAGTTTGGCTACTCCTGGTAAAAGTGAAGGGGAATGGAACGGTTGGCTACTGCATGTGCTTGTCGTGCGGCAGGAGAAATATCTTGCAGCGGTACTGGTGGATTGGCAGAATCAATGTTAAAATGGTTAGACAACACTGAAAACATCTCATGTATTTTTAATAGCTAACTTTTCTTTTTAGATGAATTCATGGCAACGCTCTCCTTCCCTGCGGCAAATTTCACCATTAGACATTACTGGTATAGGAATACTGGAGACTATTCACGATGCAAGGCTGAAATATTCCATCTAAAATTCTCAAACCATCAGCATGTTGACGATTTTGCTGAATGTTTTACTGCTATACTTTTTTATATATATTTGATCGTTATTCAGTTTCTACCCAGTGAACATTTTTCTTTTACCGCTTTGATAATCAATCAATCAATCAATCAATCTTTATTTATAGGGCGCTTTTCCTGCACAGGGCAACACAAAGCGCCTCACAGTCCACACCACACAATGCACAAATCATCACCATTAAAATACAATTAAAAACACATATGTAATTAAAAAGCATTAAAATCACATAAGTAATTTAAAAACATAAAA